TGAGCGGGCCCAGCTTCCACCTCCCTCCCGCCGCCGCCGGGTGCCTTCTCCCTCCTCCTCCTGCATGGTGACTTAATTCGCCTTTGTGCAACTACCAACGCCCCATCGCCAGCGCAGTGACTCTGCCTAGCCGCCAACGCAAAAAAACATGTGTGTGTGTGTGTGTGTGGCTCAATACGCTTCTTTTGCCAGCGCAGTGACTCTGCCTAGCCGCCGACGCAAAAAGTGTGTGTGTGTATGTATGTATGTGTGTGTGTGTGTCTTTCTCTCTGTGTGTATGTGTGTGTGCGCGTGTGTGTGTGTGTGTGTGTGAGTGTGTGTGTGTGTGTGTGTTTGTGTGTGTGTGTGTGTGTGTGTGTGCGCGTGCGCGCGTGCGTGCGTGCGTGCGTGCGTGCGTGCGCGCGTGTGTGTGTGTGTGTGTGTGTGTATGTGTGTGTGTGTGTGTGTGTGTGTGTGTGTGCGTGCGTGTGCGTGCGTGCGTGCGTGCGTGCGTGTGTGTGTGTGTGTGTGTGTGTTTGTGTGTGTGTGTGTTTGTGTGTGTGTGTGCCCGGATCGCCGGAGCAGTAACCTTTGCGCAGCCGGCGACGCTATATATTTATAGTTATACATATACATATACATGTATGTATGTATGTATGTATGTATGTATGTATGTATGTATGTATGTATGTATGTATGTATGTATGTATATATGTCTGTATGTTTGTATGTCTGTATGTCTGTATGTTTGTATGTCTGTATGTGTGTATGTATGTATGTCTGTATGTCTGTATGTCTGTATGTCTGTATGTCTGTATGCCTGTATGTCTGTATGTCTGTATGTCTGTATGTCTGTATGTCTGTATGTCTGTATGTATGTATGTCTGTATGTCTGTCTGTCTGTCTGTATGTATGTATGTATGTATGTATGTATATATATATATATATGTATATGTAGTTTTGTATGTATACATGTGTATTTACATATATACATATGCATGTATGCATGCATACATATTTACAGACACACATATAGATCGATATATCTATATACCAATGTATATATATATGGATAATGATGGATCTATCTATCTATCTCTCTCTCTCTCTCTCTATATATATATATATATATATATATATATATCGGAGTGTTGGGCCCCCCGGCCGCGCCCGGGACACAATGACAAATGAGGCCACCCCCTGGGTGACCCAATTTGGCCCTCGGGGCCTGGGGCCTGTTTTCGGTCTTTTGCAGGGCGGTTCCACCCCCGGGAGCGTTCCAAGTGCATCCACGATCGCCTCCAGACGGCCTAAGAGGCTTCCAAGACGACCCCATAGCGCCCCAAGAGCGCTCGAAGACCGCTTAAGGTGGCCTCAAGACAGCCCATGAGGCTCCCAAGAGGACCCCCACGAAGCAAAAATAGTCCCATTCCCGTCGGGAAACGTACAATTTTAGCATCGCTTGTTTGGTTTCGAGAGCGTCCAAGGTGGCCCACGAAGCCCCCAAGGTCGCTCCAAGACGGCCCAGGAGGCCCCATAGAGGGCCCCAAGACGGCCCGAGAGAGCCCAATGACGGCCCAAGAGCGGCCTCAAAGAGGCCCACAAGGCTCCCAAGAGAGCCCCGAGAGAGCCACAGGAGTGCCACCACAGAGCCCCAGGAGCGCCCCAAGACGGCCCCGGCCTCCCAAGACTGCCCAAGAGCGCTCCAGGACGGCCATCGAGGGCCCCAAATGAGCCCCAAGAGGCCCCAAGAGGGCCGCCAAGAAGGCCAAGTGATGCCATGTTGTGTAATTTTCTGTCCTTTTGGCGTTCTCGCCTCTCCGGTCGCCAGGGCAAAACCCAGACCCAGCCGCAACAAATTGTAGCTCTTTGCCTGGGCTCGCCTGATGAGGGGGCCGGAGGTCCGAGTCCAGGGCAGCCCCCCTCCCAAAGGCCCTGGGGGTGCACCTTCGTTCAACTCATGCCTCTGCCATTGGCCGGTAGTGAGGCTGAGGATGCAAGCGGGAGGAGGAGGAGGAGGAGGAGGAGGAGGAGGAGGAGGAGGAGGAGGAGGAGGGGAGGAGGAGGGGGAGGAGGAGGAGCAGAAACATTTTAAGAGGACGCGTAGGAAGGAGGGGCGATGGATCTTCGGAGGTGGGAGCAGGAAGACGAGAGGCGAGCCACACGAGAGAGAGACGTGGGAGAGAACGGGCACGGGAACATTCAGGCGGGGAGGGGAGGGACGGGGGTGCCTAAGAGGAGGAGAAGGATGATGCTCAGGAGGAGGAGGAGGAGGAGGAGGAGGAGCAGGATAAATAAATAAGACGAGGTGAATGGAGACGTGCACTATACATTGCGGCACGGATTATCCAGGAACCCATCCAGGTTTTCAGCGCCTGTGAATCGCGTGCGAAGAGGGGACGGTATTCGAAACTGGAGCGGGAATTGATACATGAAACAGCCGAGGCCTGGTGTCAAGGGGTAGGGAGATGACCGTGAAGCTGGCGACAGGAGTGGACCCATCATGAATGAGTTGGCTCGCGAGATGTGTTGTGGGTATGTGGTAACTGTTGAGCAATCGATTTGCATTCGAATCGCCCCGGAATTCCTCAGTGGCTCATAGACAATTCGCGATGCGCGTTCCTTGTGCACGGCTAGAACCTAAGCGCGCGCGAAACGCGCGCGTGGTTCAAGTATACATATCTCTATATATTTACACATGTGTGTGTCTGTGTGTGTGTGTGTGTGTGTGTGTGTGTGCGTCTTGTTCATCCCTGCTGCACGCCAGTCAGTTCGCCTTTCACTTGCCCGAATAGCCACACGCTGGAGCGGACTGCCTCTGCCTCTCCGCCGACGGATACAGTGTGTGTGTGTGCGCGTGTGTGTGTGTGTGTATGTATGTGTGTGTGTGTGTGTGTGTGCGCGTGCGCGCGTGTGTGTGTGTGTGTGTGTGTGTGTGTGTGTGTGTGTGTGGGTGTGTTTTGTGTTCCCCGATCCCCTCATAAAGAATTTTAGCCGATCAGATAAGTGCAACCCCACTCACCTCCGCCTTTGGACAGGCTAGGCCCCCTCGTCCGCGCGCTGTGTGCTTTGATGCTCAAGGACCAAGGCTCGAGTTTCGAGGCTCGAGGTTCGCGGGCCCAAAATTCCAACGCTTTCGGTTGTGCCTCGGGAGGCCTCCTGTGGTTGTCGGGGGAGTGCAGGAACTTCTGGAGTCCTCGATCATCCCAGGTTTCCGGCGACTCGAACAAATCGCGCTGGAGGTTTTCGGGGCGCTTTGCCGGTTCTTGTTGCTTGACTGCTTGCGTGTTTTTTCCTGAGGGGGAGTGGGAGGATGGAGGAGGAGGGGGAGGATGAAAAGGAGGAGGAGGAGGAGGAGGAGGAGGAGGAGGAGGAGGAGGAGGAGGAGGAAGAGGCCCGTGGGGACCCCCGGGAACTTTCGGAGGCCTCTGCAGACTTCTCCGTGGCCTCCTGGGGACCTCGGGAGTCCTTTGGGGTCCTGGGCCTCGTGCCCCCGCTGCTTTTTGAAACGCCCCCCCCCCGCCCCCCCGCCCCCGCCCCACCCCCGCGTGTGCGCCGCCGGCTTTCCTTGGGCAGGCTTTGCTGCCGAGATCGCCTTCTGATGGTGGTGGGCGCCGGGCGGGGAGCACCTCGCGACGCAGGGGGGCCGAACCAGTGAGGGGGAAGGGGGGGCCGGAGTTGCCACGGAGGGGGGGGGGTTCGAACGGCCGCCCCCGCTCCCTGTGCAGGGGGAGAAAGGCCCGGCATCGCTCGGACGTGTGCATTTTTCCTTCGGCGAGGACCATCGAGGAGCATCCTTGATCTTGACCATTTGGCAAAACACCACGCACGAAACCGAAAAAAGCACAAGGAATGGACGTCCGAGCGATGGCGAGAAGGGGGGTTCGAATTGCCCCCCCCCCCCCCCCATTTCGCTGTGCTTGGGGCCGTTGCCCGGGGAGTGCAGCCGAGCGCCCCGCCCCGGTCCTCCTCGTCGGGGCGCAGGCCTGTGGCACGGGGCGCGCGTGCGCAGGAAGACGCTCCCCCGGCCTCGGAGGGCGCCCTCTCAGCAAGCCCGCGCTCCTGCTTCCCTCCCTACACCTACACACGATGGCGTCCATTGCCACCGGAGGGGGCCGAGGACCTCCCTGCAGCTCCTCGGCCAACGAAGACGGCTGCAGGGAGGGGCCCAAACGTACCTCCACCTTCTTGCACCAGTCAACCAATACACCAGAAAACCAACTCCTCACATCCCTCCTCTAGCCTCCCCCCCCCGGGCCCCTGACGGTTGCACCACAGCGCGACAGAGTCGTTTCGCGAGTTTGGGCGCCCGGGGGCGACGATGGGGGCGCTTCTGGGCCCCAGAGCCGTCCGAGAGCGACCTGGGGGCCGAGGATCACGGCGCAGGAAGCTTGGGCTGCCATGGCTCCATCCCCTGCCCTATTTCCTCCTTCCTCGTCCGAGGGTGCCCTCTTCGGCCTCCTCCCTGCTCTGTTTCTCCCTTCGTTGCCCCTTTGACTTTTCGCAAGAAAAAGTTCACCCTGAACACAAAACAGGAGGCACGCGCGCAGTCAAGGAAGCAGGGAGATGAACGCGGCCGCATCGCTCGTCCCTCCCTCCGCGTCCTGAGCATCCCCACGGCTCTGGGCCGAGCCACTGGCTGCAGGAGCCGCTGCGTAGCTGTGGGCTGCCAGGGAGCTACGGAGTTGTGCAGCGTAGCCTTAGGTCGGGCCTGTCCCTCTACATGAGGAGTATTTTTAACATTTTTTTAATACCATTTTTGCTTTCTTCTTTTTGTTAGTCTTACTTCTGTCCAACATCCGCCTGTACGGGGACACGCCCGACCTAAGCGTAGTCCGAGGCTGTCACCACCGTTTCCTCTGCGCAGTTCACGACCGAGCTCGTGCAGCACAGACTGGTGGGATATCCTCCAACGCATCGGAGCGATCCAGGCTCCGCGGGTGCGAGCAGGCTGCGGGCACGCCCCGCCCTCCCTATCCTTCTAGGAGCGTGTGGCCGCACGCCGATCTCACCTTCTGGAGGTGATGTTGGATTGGGATAACTATAGCGGCTCTGCCCATTCGCCTCGTGCTGGAGTACTGTGCCGGCGGCTCCTTGTTTGAATTGCTCCACAACAGATATAACATCTCAGTTTCGTGGAAGCAGAGGTTCAAGATGCTGTCGGACGTCGCCTCCGCCCTTGACTACCTCCACAACTTCGAGCCACCCATTTTGCACCGCGATCTGAAGAGCCTGAACATGATGCTCCTGGACCAGGCGCTGTCTGTTGCGAGCCCGCCTCAGCAAAGCGCTCGAATAGCAGAGGGAGTGGTAAGTAGGGATATGGGGGAATGGGAGGATGGGATGGGGGTGGGACGGGGCACCGTCCTCGGCGCGCCACTGCACAAGACGGACAACAACGGTCTGCAGGTCCCTCTGATTCCCGAGTGGCGCTTTGCAACAGGGTTTTGAACCGTTGGCAAATACAGCCCTTGCAGAACCGCTCCCTGGGGGGTCACCTGTTCGCGTCGCGCACTGCCCTCACGGACCGTTCCCTCGAGAAAGCCGTGGTCAAGCTGGGAGACTTCGGCTTCACCTCAAACTCGGTCTTCAGATACCTCCTGGACACCGTCGCGACCCGATCTTCGAGGCGCGTACAGCAATGGCGATGAGGAGGGCGCCCGAAGGCAGGAACAACAGAGGGAAGAGGAGGAGGAGGAGGAGGACCAGTGCAAACCCAAGACTCATCACTGATGTTGGAATACGCCCTCCTGTCAGAGGCCCCTTGCAAGGGTTCATATTCTCTGAGAGAAGTTCGCCATGGGGGGACAACCGTGTGAAAATGTTGACGCGTGCCAAAACACCATTCTCAGGATTTCAACTCCACATGTCAACCTGACTGTTGCATCTTGACAATCCTGAATCGCCCCAGAACACAATCCCAGGCACTTACACACCGCGGATCAACGTCATGGATGCTTCCTGGCAATCCGGAATCGCTCCACAACACAATTTTGGAGTGTTGATGGTGAGAACACGTGAAACTCTTGCAATTTCTAAAGACGAATGTGCGCGGCGCCTAAGCGAGAGCCACACTTTGAACAGGAACCGGCCTCAAGCCGCAAAGCTCCTGCAATTGTTGCAAGACGAATGAGCGCGGCGCCAAGGCGAGAGCCACTTGTTCAAAACAGCCTGCCCTGAATCCGCAAAGCTCCTGAAATCATTTAAGACGACTGTGCGCGGCGCTAAGGCGAGAACCACATGTTGAAAACCACCCGCCCCCAATCCGTGAAGCTCTTGCAAATTTCTAAGACGAGTGTTCGCGGCGCCGAGGAAAGAACCACATTTTGAAAACTACCTGCTTTCTATTTGTCCAGTCTTTAAGCTTCAGGGTCAGAAAGTGGTGAGGAATCTTAAGGCGAAACGCCTGGCCCGCCCTTTCGACCAGCCTCGGGGTGCGACAAGGAGGAGTTGCTTTTAAGGAAAAGCAATGGAGGAGGGGAGGAAGATGTTCCCAGTGGCCTCTCAGGGCCCCCGAAGGGCTACATGCATCTAACAACCTGCATCCTTCGCCTCCCCGCGGCCTCCTCGAAGGTGACGAACGAGCACGACAACGTCGTCGTCAAGCTGGGAGACTTCGGCTTCGCCAGGATCCTCGAGGAGATCAGGTCGGGAGAAAAGGGGGGGAGAACATCGACCCAGGATCGCCCATGCGTCGCCGATCGGGGCCCTGGGCGTTCCGCTCCCACCTGCCCTGCGGTTCTCACACTTGCGTATGGTTGGGTCCTTCGCCAAGATAATTTTGAGTAACAGTTTTTTGTTTTCCAATTGCTTCCGACTTATTTCGGGCTCCCAGCCCCACGAGCCCCAGACTGGCGCATTTCCGATCGGATTTGGATGGACAAATTATTATGATGTTCAGCAATTCTGCGGGATGCAAGGATCGGCGCGTCTCCATTTGAATTCTGTTTGAGAAGCAGATTTGGGTATCACAGAATTCTGCGGGAGGCTGGAATCAACGCATTTCCTGTTGCGTACAGAACATGTCAGCCAGCGTGGGCCCCAAGCAGTGTATTTCTAGCAACATATGCTGTGCAACCTGTGTGGAACAACATATGTCGTGCATTACAGGCGGGGTAATCTATGCGTTGCGTTTGATTTTTACAAACGAGTTGACACATTCCATGCTCTTGCAAACACCCCACCCACCCACCCGCAACTTGGCTTGCAAAAGCCATTTTGTGGCGATTGCGATGCATGCTTGGCGTTGGCTGGTGCATGTTTGCGGCCGCGCCAACCCAACACACGCGTGCGCAGCGTCCAGCTAGTTCGGCGTGACCGACGCGGCCGCGGTGGCGCTGACCGCTGGGCACATCCCAGCGGGCACGTCACTGCGAGTCGGCGACTTTGGCGGGCGTGCTGTTATGGCAACGTCGACAATGGTAGACACGATGATGATAGTAGCGTTGCTAGTGACGACGGCGCGGCAAGTGCGGGTGCCGATGCTGATCGCGCCGACGACGATGACGGCGTCCTCGGGTCGGTGATGAAGGTTTTGGACAGTTTGACATGCGCGCGCGGCCGACGCGCGAGACTGGCTTGCATGGCTTTATTTGTCACGGAGGCGTCGCGCCGGTGAGGAATATTTTGGAGAGTTCGACATGCGCGCGTGCGGCCGACGCGCGCGAGTGGCCAGCATGGTATTCTTTGACTCGGATCGTGCTCCCCCCCCTGGGCACAAGCGCAAGGGCGTGCGAATGATGTCGGCATGCGGCGCCAGAGGCCCGCTTGGCAGAAACTCATGGACATGTTGGAAACTTCATGGTTTTCGCTAGAATTCGCAAGAGCGCGAGCGCAAACTTTTTTTTCTGGGAAGGGGGAATTTCATGTCGCGAAACCTTGTGGCTTGATATGTCTATTGGACACTCTGTTTTGACATCGTCAGGCAACCGAAGATTTTTGACGGATGTCGGCATGCGCGCGCGACGACGCGCGCGTGTAAATTTCGTTATGTATCTACACACACATATATATATATATATATATATATATATATATATATGCAACGGATTCTCGCAACGGCACGCGCGCAAGGGCTGTCGAGCGAATTCGACCTGCGCGCCCGCGATGCCCGTTTGGTAAAATTTGTTGAATACGTTGAATCACCAATGGTTTTCTTAAGATTTTGTAAGAGATCGTGTGCACATTGCTTGTTTTTTGTGTGAGAGAGAGAGAGAATCCGTGTTGCGAAATTTTAGGTGTGTATATATATATATATATGTATATGCATGTATGTATATATATATATATATATATATATATATATATATATATATTGGGTACTCGATTTTGTAATTTCTGCGGTTCCGATGGTTTTTTGAAGGACTTCGACATGCGCGCGCGACGACGCGCGCGTGTGCACTTCGATTCATTTTGTCGCACGAATCTTTGACAATTGTTGGTTTTTGATAAACGAGTGCGCGCGCATAGTGCTTCTTTGCGGAGGACTGTTTAGGGGGCGGATACCGGCCCCCCTGGGATGGTGTGGAATCATTTTTTTGGATGGACGATGGTGCAAAATTATTTGTACATTGCAGTGCGAAAAAGGGGGGGCGATATTGTCAACTACATTATTCGCGCACCTATCTCGCCCACCCACCCGCAACTTGGCATGCGAAATCCTTGCGGCGTCGATTGCGATGACTGCTCGGCGCTGGCTGGCGCATCGCCGCGGCCGCGTCAGCGCTCGCATGCTCGCGCGCAGAGCGGCCAGTTAGTCTGGCGCGACCGACGCGGCCGCGATGGCGCTTACCGCTGGGGACTTCCTTGCGCGTCTCGCAGGCCGCGCTGACGCGCGGGCACTTCAGTCCGAGTCGGTGACTCGGGCGGGCGCGGTGTCGCGGCGACGTCGCCGACGGCAGACGCGATGATGTTTGTAGTGATGCTGGTGGCGACGACGACGATGACGCCGGTAAGGCTTATGACGGTGCCGATGCTGATCACGCCGATGTGACAGCGCAGATCTTCCTTCGACAACTCATGTTGTGAACTCATGTTTTGTTTGGTGGATGGCGCCTGTTTTCGGGCGCTCGGTCTGCAAATCGATGCGAAACCAGAGATTTTTGAAGGTTCTGCTATGCGCGAGCGACGGCGAGTGCATGAAACCTTCGTGTCGTGTTCCGGAACGGATTTGGGGAACTTGTCGATTTTTGATCAGCGAGTGTGCGCGCATAGTGGTTTTTGCAAGGAACGGGGGGGGTCGACGCCAGCCGATTGGGCTGTGATCCACGCGTTCATATTGGGAGAGAATGGTGGGGCATAATCATATGTAAGTTGCACATCCCCAGGGTGAACCATTAAGTCCGCCTTCGGGATAGTGGTGGGATCTGCTCTCTTTTAGAAAGGAGAACCGAAACGGTGCAACACAAGTGGTGCAATCCATGTGGTGCAATTGTTTTCAACAAGCGAGTTGACGCATCCCATGCTCTTGCAAACATCCCACCCTCCCACCCGCAACTTGGTTTGCAAAAGCCATCTGGTGGTGATTGCGATGCCTGCTGGGCGTTGGCTGGTGCACTGTTGCGGCCGCGCCAACCCTAGCGCGCGCAGCGGCCAGCTAGTTTGGCGCCGCCGGCGCGGCCGCGGTGGCGCTGACCGCTGGGCGCATGCCAGTGGGCGCTCCATTGCGAGTCAGTGACTTGGACGGGCGCGGTATCATGGCAGCGCCGCCTACGGTAGACGTGATGATAGCGCCGATGCTTGCGACGATGTTCGCGCCGACGAAGGCGTGGCCAGTGCGGGCGCCGATGCTGATCGCGCCGACGACGATGACGGCGCCCTCGCGTCGGCGATGAAAGTTTTGGAAACAACTCGACTTGCGCGCGCGCGACCGACGCGCGAGAGTGGCCCGCATGGTTTCATTTGGCGTGGATCGTCTCCCCCAGCACGCGCGCACGGGCGCGCGAATGATGCCGGCATGCGGCGCCAGAGGCTTGTTTGGTATAGTTCAATGAACATGCTGAACAACATGTGGTTTTTCTTAAGATTCCGCAAGAGCGTGCGCGCCAGCCTTGTTGTTGTTGTACTGATGTCGCGAAATTTCTTTCGTTTTGTTTTATGTGTGCGTGTGTGTCTGCGTGTGTGTGTGTGTGTGTGTGTGTCCAAGGGGCGGCCGGCATATTACAGGTTAGGGGGGTCGCGGGGCCACCGGTTGTAACTCCTCTTCCTCCCCCTCTCCTACCTCCCCGCTCTCACCGAAGGGCCCGTCCATGTACAGGCAGGAGTTCCCGCCCAAGGTCCCTCAGAAAATACATCCGCAATCTAACAAAACAGCAAATTAACAATCAGCAGGCACGGACCGTCCGGGCAGGCCCTGCTCAACTGGACGGGACGTGGGGGCCACCTCTGGGCAGGTGCCTGCGCAACGCCTTTTTTCAAGGTCTACTTGGTCTTGGGAGCCTAACAATGCCTAATAACTGCCTAAGAACATCCAGTACAGCAACCTCTGGGAGATCTACGAACGCCGCAGGGCGGCGCACGTGGAAAATATGCTCCCATCAGTCTATTGGTCAACTAATCTTGCCACTCGTCCCTCTTCCTTCCCTCTTGATGCTCTGCTTGTCTTGGTCCTCTGCCTGTCCTGGTCGTGTCCTGGTCCTCTGCTCTTTGCGCTCTCTGCCCTCTTTGCGCTCTTTGTGCTCAGCCTGCCTTGCTCCTTCTGTGCTCCCCAAACCCAGAAAACAGACAGAAGGATGCCGAGATGGTGAGGCAACTTGTGAGATCAAGGCTCACAGCTGTGCGTATCAGGGCACTCGGCGATACGAGTGGCCAGCATTTTGTATCAGGGCCTTCGGCGATACGAATGGCCAGCATTTTGTATCAGGGCTCTCGGCGATACGAATGGCCAGCATTTTGTATCAAGGCTCGGGGGGATACGTCTGGCCAGCATTTTGTATCAAGGCTCGGGAGGACACGTCTGGTGAGCGATTTGCATCATGGCCCTCGGATGCACCATGATCGTCGTCCCCGCTTTTTGTTCCCCCCTTCCACCCCCTTTCCTTTTCCCTCTCCCTGCCCTCCCCTCCCCCCTCCCCCCTCCTCGTCTGCCCAACAAGACGCTTTGACGGGGGGTACCCACGATTGTGTGCGCAGATGTTCACGTGGTGCTTGCACGCGCGCAGGCATGTGAGGCATTGTCTACAGTCATTGTCTACACTCACACCCAATCACATTCTCTACAGTCACAGTCTACACTCACGCCCAATCAATCTCAATCGCTCTCAGAAAGTAGTTTTTGCTTGGTCTCTGCTTGGTCTCTGCTTGGTCATGGAAAAGCCTCCTAACGCCACTGGGGGGCGCATGGCGGGGGTGCACGGCGCCGCCCCGGCCAGCGTCCGAGTCCAAAGCTTTGTTCGCCCTTGTCGGGACTTTTGGGGATTCCCCGGAAGAGGTCCGCAGATTATCAGGTGCCCGCGCCGTGCTTCACAAAGCTCGAGTGGCTCAGAATACGCCTTCTAAGAAGTCTCAACCCAGGAAGGTCTCATGACCTTGTCAAGTGTGTTGGCGCGTGCCACGGCACGTGTCCGGGCATTCATTCGCTAATCCCGCGAATGTCCGTAAACCGCATCGCGGCCGCTACGAAAAGCCTCATTCAAACCTAAGAAGCGTG